GGGTCAGATGTAGGGTTAGGGTACTAAGCAAGCCACAGACTTCTGGATGTGAGGGTGCAGAAATTTGGGTTGGGGTATGTGAGGGGCTCAGGACAGGGGGTTCCAGTGTATCAGATCTAGGGTCTGGGGAAGGGAGAATGCAGGAGTGGTTATGGCCAGATGGGGGCTTCGCCCCATTTGGGGGTTTGTTGGCCAGGCTTCATTTTTAAATAAAATATTATGTCAAACACAAAATGTTTCAGTATTGTCTTTATTAATAAGAGGGGCCTTTTTTGAGTCAGGGGTCACTGACCCCCAGAAAAATAATTTGGGACCACACAAGTGAGATGCAAAAAAAAAAACCCTCCAAGACCCCCCAAGCATTATGGGGGGGGGGCCCAAATGAGACACCTCACTCCCCTGGCACTCCAGCAGAGTGTACTGAGGGAATTGGCATATGTCATTGTGGAGCCTTTGGCCATATCTTTGAAGACTCGAGATCAGGAGAGATCCCGGATGATTGGAAAAAGGCAGATGTGCCCATCTTTAAAAAAGGGAAGAAGGACAATCCAGGGAACTACAGACCAGTCAGCTTTACCTCAGTCCCTGGAAAAATCATGGAGGGGGATCCTCAGGGGATCCTCAAGGGATCCTTTTGAAGCACTTGGAACAGGGGAAGGGGATCAGGAATAGTCAGCATGGATTCACAAAGGGCAAGTCGTGCCTGACCAATCTGATTAGCTTCTAGGATGAGGTAACTGGCTCTGTGGATATGGGAAAGTCAATGGATGTGATAGACCTTGACTTTAGCAAAGCTTTTGATACGATCTCCGACAATATTCTTGCCAGTAAGTTAAGGGAATATGGATTGGATAAATGTACTGCAAGATGAATAGAAAGCTGGCTAGACTGTCAGGCCCAAAGGGTAGTGATCAACGGGTCAATGTCAGGTTTGGGGGGTTGGTTTCTAGCAGAGTGCCCCAAGGATCTGTTTGTTTTGTTCAACATCTTTATTAATGACCTGGATGAGGGGATGGATTGCATCCTCAGCAAGTTTGCAGATGACACTAAGCTAGGGGGAGAGGTAGATACGCTGGAGGGCAGAGATAGGTTCCAGAGTGACTTGGACAGATTAGAGGATTGGGCCATAAGAAATCTGACAAGGTTCAACAAGGATAAATGTAGAGTCCTGCACTTGGGATGGAAGAATCCCAAACATTGTTACAGGCTGGGGACCGAATGACTAAGTAGCAGTTCTGCAGAAAGGGACCTGGGGGTTACAGTGGGTGAGAAGCTGGATATGAGTCAACAGTGTGCCCTTGTAGCCAAGAAGGCTAATGGCATATTAGGATTCATTAGGAGGAGCATTGCCAGCAGATCCAGAGAAGTGATGATTCCCCTTTATTCGGCTCTGGTGAGGCCATATGTATAGTATTGTGTCCAGGTCTGGGCCCCCCGCTATAGAAAGGATGTGGATGCATTGGAGAGGGTCCAGCAGAGGGTAACCAAAATAAGGGGGCTGGAGCACATGACCTATGAGGAAGGGCTGACGGATTTGGGTTTGTTTAGTCTGCAGAAGAGAAGAGTGAGGGGGGATTTGATAGCAGCCTTCAACTTCCTGAAGGGAGGTTCCAAAGAAGCTGGAAAAAGGCTGTTCTCAGTAGTGACGGGTGGCAGAACAAGGAGCAATGGTCTCAAGTTACAGTGGGGGAGGTCTAGGTTGGATATTAGGAAAAACTATTTCACTAGGAGGGTAGTGAAGAACTGGAATGGGTTACCTAGGGAGGTGGTGGAATCCCCATCCTTGGAGGTTTTTAAGTGACAAAAGCCCTGGTTGGGTTGATTTAGCTGGGATTGGTTCTGCCTTGGGCAGGGGGCTGGACTTGATGACCTGCTGAGGTCTCTTCCAGCTCTAGGATTTTATGATTCCAGGCCAAATTAATTCTTCTGCGTTCCAGGGTTAGTGGCATTAGTGGGCCCCTCTGTAATCTGAGGTGGGGCCAAAAATGAGAAATCCAGTGTGCGGAACAGGGCTGCCAGTGAGTTGGATAGGGATGGGGGTACAGAATCTGGGTGGAAATAGGGTACAGGAGCAAGCTGGGGCAAGGTGTCTGACCAGGAGGGAAGGGGCAGGAACAGGGTGCTGGTGGGGGTCTGGTCAGGAACAGGGTGCTCTGGGCAGGGGGCAGGGTCAGTTTGGCCAGTACTTCGGAATCTCTAGGGACAAGTATCTCATGGGAAAGATCTGCAGGCAGTGCTGTAAGAAGCACACGTTCAGCTCCTTTAAGAAATCCAGCAGCTCTGGATCCTCCAGTGCCATCTTAAATCTCCACCTACCCCCACACTGCCTCCTTGGTGCATGGGGAAAGGAAGGCAAGAGAAGAAAGTGCATGCATTGCTGTGGGGAGTGAAGGAGCAGCGTGCACGTGCTTCCTGAGATGCCTGATCTGTTGTGGAGCCACGGGACTTCCTGACTCCCCTCCTTCCCCCCCCCCCCCCCCCCAAACAGCCAGCGCGTTTCCCGAAATGCCGGTCCGTCGTGTGCTGGGGCCTTCTTTCCCCTTGCTGCCTTCCTGCGGGGTGGGGGGGGCAGAGAGTAGGAGTCCAGGGACCATGTCATGCGCACTATCACGGGGAGCTGAGGAGGAGGGTGTGAGTGCCTGAGAGTTGAATCTAGTGCAGTCCCATGACTCCTCCTACTCCCCTCCCCCCCGCCGTTCCCCAGCGGAGGAAGGCAGCAGGGGGAAGGAAGTCCCTGGCGCATGATGAACCCGGTGTTTTAGGTGCTGCGCTGGCTGTTCAGGGAGGGGGAGTACTGCGCACTTCCTGGACCTGGTGCGCAGCTCAGAACTTCCCACCCCACAGGAAGTCTGCGCTACCTCCATTGTCGCTGGAGGTAGCGTCCGTGCACGGTGGTTCTTGGGGGTTGGAGGGAGAGCGAGGAGGGCCCCTGAAAGCCTCACAATCAACTGGTTGGTGGCCACAGACGTAGGACGATCAAAACTCCTTTACACTAAGCTTTCCTTCATCTGCGGTCAGAGAACATGGCCAGTGGACATAAGTACAGTACGGTCCTGAGTAAGAAATAAGGAAACATGCTCCCATTCCTTTGTCCTGATTCATGCAGATCAGGACCAGTGTAAATCAGAACACGTTCTCTAGTTAGGGTAATGCACATTAGGGATGTTAATGAACGTCTATTTGCGTAAACACAAAACCTCTGGATTATATGCTAGGGAGGCTTGAAAGTGCTTTCCCCGCATGTACAGGCAGCTCTGCAGGAGCCAGTGCTTGTGAAGCTCTTGCCTCCCCTGCTGCTGCCTCTGTAAGGTTCTGTGAGCCGGCATGTGTGTATCCGCTCCCACCTGCGTGGCTCCCCATCCCCACGCAGAGGCAGCAGTGCAAGGGGGGGTGGCAGGTGGCTCCATGTGAGCTGATGCTTGTGGGGAGCTGGCTTTCAAGTTGGCTCCTCCTGAGCACCAGTTCCCACCTGCCCTCTCCACACTGCTGCTTCTGTGGGAGGCAGCAGTGGGCGAGGGGGCAGGTGGCTCCATGGGAGCCAGCAGGTGCAGATAGCTTAAAAGCTGGCTCCCCACAGGCACTGTGCCCCCCCCCACTCCGCTGCCTCTGATACAGAGGCAGGAAGGAGGGGTTCATGTAGTCATGTGATAAGCCCAGATTTACTGGTTAACTGAGTACACGCTAACTTCTCTAATGCATATCCAAAACAATGGATAAGGGGAAGGGTATATCGAGGACTCCCTTTAGGAGCAACATGTGAATTCAATCTGGACTGCAAAAGACCAGGTAACATTTTTTTGTTAGAGGACTCTCCTGATATTTACCAGCGCTGCTATCTATTTTGAGTAGGATTTTGTTCCTTCTCTTTCCAAGCAGAGGCTTGGGTACATTTGCCTTTCAGATTGGTAAAAGGGAACAAGTGTATTGCTGTAAAAAGCAGTCCTAGGTTTAGTTGTCCAGTGACTAACTCTAGGGACTTTCTGTTTCAGCGGGAAGAAGTTCCAGATGACTACTACAAGCATGACCCTGATCACAAGCACATTTACCGTTTTGTACGGACGCTTTTTAGTGCAGCGCAGCTGACGGCTGAATGTGCAATAGTGACGCTGGTAAGATATGCTCTAGCATTTAGTTCAACCTGTAAAAAAATCCTTTTTGATTGAACAAGTTGATTAAGCTTTGCTAAATACAAGAAATGTAAATTGCAAAAGGAGTCTGACTGGATGAAAGGCAGATATAACTGCAAATTGGTGTTTATCAGTCAACAGTAAAATACAGTTAATCATTTTTCTAATGTCAGTTCCTTTCCTGTATATGAATTCGGCAAGGTCTAGTCAGTTTGTAAAATGAGCCATTTGTTTCAATATTAGAATGCTAATGAAAAGTGAATAGTTACTAATGAAATGCAATTAGAGGGGAATGGGGATGTGGTTATGGTGATTTAACTACTGGGCCACTGGTTGAATCTGGCCTCTGTCAGCAGTGATTAGAAGCAACCGCTGTTGAATGGCTGTTTGCTGGCGAATAAGAGCCATGTGGCTTCTGTATAATTCTTAAGGGAAATATTCACATTAGAAAATTATTGTCCTTATAGCACAGATGCCTAGAGCTGAATGGACCAAACAGCTGTCTGAATCCTAGAGGCACTATGAAGCTGCTCATGTGTATACCACATGGGCAGCAATACAAGGAGTATTTTGGTTCCCAGGACTATCAGGCATGTCAACTTAAACTTCATGTATAGACTTTGCTAGTTACCTTGATTGCAAAAGTAGCAATGATCTTCCTTTACAAGGTGGCTAAAGACAAGTGGCGTTTGATATGTCTCATTTCACTTGAGGTATGCAGGGAAAATCCACTCACCAGTGGTATGTCAGATAACTTCCTCGGAGAGCAGTGAAACTGCGCAAGAGGGCCAGTGTAGACAACACGGTATTGTTTTGCGCAAAAAAGCCCCGATCGCAAAAATGGCGATCGGGGCTTTCTTGCGCAAAACTGCGTCTAGATTGGTATGGACGATTTTCCGCAAAAAGTGTTTTTGAGGAAAAGCGTCTGTGCCAATCTAGACGCTCTTTTCCGCAAATGCTTTTAACGGAAAAACTTTTCCGTTAAAAGCATTTGCGGAAAATCATGCCAGTCTAAACATAGCCATCATGTCATATTTTCTCTGTTCCTGCATATGGTACTCAAAGGGTGGTGAAGTTATTTGCTGCGAGGAGAAACAAAATGTTGTTGTGTATGGTAGACTTAATACAAATCGAGCCTCTTTTGTCCGGCACCCTTGGGACCTGAGTGGTCCCAAACCACGGACAAGGGGAGATCAATGCTCCCTACCCAGGTGTAGGGTTGTGCTCCTGGACAGGGCTGCATCTCCCACCGTGCCAGTCCTGGACAGGGCCAGCCCTGCTGCCTCCAACTCTGGCCAGGCCTGCACCCTTCACGGCCATGGCTAAGGCTGCATGCCTAGCTGCTAGCCCTGCTGACTCCAGCCCTGGCTAGGGCTGTGCACTCTACCACCAGTCCCAGCCAGGACTGCGCTCCTGACTGCCAGCCCTGCTGCCTCCTGCCCCGACCGAAGCTGTGTTTTGCAGCATGCCAGTCTCAGCAGGACTGTGCTGCTGGCAGCACTGGCTGGGGCTGTGCTCCCCACCATGCCAGCCCCGCTGGGGATGTGTTCCCCACCATCAGCCCAGCTCGGGCTGCAATTCTGAAACTGAGCAGCTGGGGCTCTCTGGTCCAGCAATAGCCGATGTTGCTCGACCAGAGAGTCCCAGATTTCAGAGGTTCAACCTTTTACAGAAATTGGGAGTGTAGAGGGAAGGTTTAGTTTTGGGCCACCACCCTAAACAGTAGAGTACTTAGAGTTGGGGAGAATGAACTCCTTTTCCCTTCCATCAGGTGAGGATTCATAAAATGTATATTAGCCAGAGACTGATGTGAAAGATAGAGCTCCTAAGTGAATTGAGGAACTGCACACTGGTGAGAATACCAGCAGCGGAACCTTCTTGCCATTGCAATGCTGCAGTACCTCCTCCTATTTTATCAATATTCAGCTGTTCAGTTTACATCTTGGACTAGTAGCTGCTTCCAAGTATGTTTGATATGGTCTTAAAAAAGACCCATCCAAAACCTACACCTAATCTTGTGTCCTTGCCGTGTGACTTTGAAAAGGGGAACAGGTAAAGAAACTGAAGATAGAGACTGATTGTCCAAAAAATGTCCTAACCTACATAATTACTGAGGATGTGGGCTACTGAAATGTGGGCTTTAGTTGCCTGCTAAGACTATGGTAATTTAAATTTTCACATCTAGGCTAGGAAGAAATAGTGCAGAAGATGAATAAAGAGGGTAAGGTTTGCAACCAAAAAGATAACAAAAGTGAGTGTGTCATGGAAGCAAATTCTTAAAGTTTAAAAACAATGATTTTAATAAAACTGTGACTGAGAAGGCTAAATAACCATTGAGCTATTGAAACTCTGCAAGCCTTTTGTGTTGCTTTCCTAAAGCATGCAGGCATTTTCACAGGGCAGGCTGGTGTCTGACATCAGGCATTCTGCCTAATACTAATATTCAGAAATTAGCCTCTGAAGATCTTTTCTGAAGTTTGTTTTTTAAAAAGTGGACTTCTGCCAGTAGGTGGCTCTGTTGGCTGTGGAAAAACTGTGGGGTTCCAGTCTAAAACTACAAGTAGACAATTAACTCCTTATTTGAGTCCATTTTTTTCCCATTCAGAAAAGACTTATGAAAAGTATTGAAAACATATTGGCTACGTCTACACTGGCCCCTTTTCCGGAAGGGGCATGTAAATTTCAGCAGTCGTCGTAGGGAAATCCGCGGGGGATTTAAATATCCCCCGCGGCATTTAAATAAAAATGTCCGCCGCTTTTTTCCGGCTTTTAAAAAAGCCGGAAAAGAGCGTCTAGACTGGCCCCGATCCTCCGGAAAAAGTGCCCTTTTCCGGAGGGTCTTATTCCTACTTCAAAGTAGGAATAAGACCCTCCGGAAAAGGGCACTTTTTCCGGAGGATCGGGGCCAGTGTAGACGCTCTTTTCCGGCTTTTTTAAAAGCCGGAAAAAAGCGGCGGACATTTTTATTTAAATGCCGCGGGGGATATTTAAATCCCCCGCGGATTTCCCTACGACGACTGCTGAAATTTACATGCCCCTTCCGGAAAAGGGGCCAGTGTAGACGTAGCCATTGAGGCTGCAGTTTTCTCCAAGCTCCTATATCCACTTGTGAATGGAATTTTAATTCTTGATTTAAAAGTATTTTTAATTTTTTTTCTATAAAAGAGACAGCTACTTGGGACATGTAGTCCTGGAGTAAATCTGTATGTCACTGTCAAAAAAGCAGTGTTAGTAAGAAAACAGTTGAGATTTAAGCTGCTGGGACTGTTAGGAACTGTATGAAAGGAGGTAGGAAATCCATTTGAAACTGAAAGCTTTGTACTTGAAGCTTTGTCACCATCTACCTCTCAATGTGGCCAGCTGAGATGTGAGTGCAGCACTCATTGAGGGGTGAGAGTTGTGCTAACTGTATGTTTCATGCAGATTGAAGTGGAGATGTGACCTGAAGGAAAAGTCTGAATGCTAAAATTCAGAAATAGCTACTAATTCTGGTAGCTTAATAGATATTAGATAAATAAATGAAATATCTGATGACGTCTAAATCTGACTGAATTCTTATTGTTTGGTACTCAAACTTCAGTTGAGCTGTCCTAAGTTGAATTCTCTTTCTGTAGGTTTACTTGGAAAGACTCTTAACCTATGCGGAAATTGACATCTGTCCTAGTAACTGGAAAAGAATAGTTCTAGGAGCTATTCTGCTGGCTTCTAAGGTTTGGGATGATCAGGCTGTGTGGAATGTGGATTACTGCCAAATATTGAAGGACATTACGGTTGAGGACATGTAAGTTGCAAGTTTGGTCAATTTGCTGCTTTCTTAAACAGTGTTTTTGGAGAGCTGCCATTTATTGTAAAGTTATCTGTTCTAAGGCCAATTATTCAGTATAGAGAATTGAACTAGTTCATGTTGTCAGGCTTTATTCTCATGAATAAACAGAGACACTCAGAGTAAAAGCATTATGTTAAAACAAGTCCACATTGGTACGATAAGTAACTTGGATTACTACACTTTCACTTTTAAACTTAGCCACCTGTCTACACTGGCCGCGAGTACTTGTGCAAGAACACTGACGTCCTAATGTATAAAATCAGTGCTTCTTGCGCAAATACTCTGACGCTCCCGCTCAGGGATAAGCCCCCTTGTGCAACTGTTCGTGCGCAAGAGGCCAGTGTAGACAGGTAACATTAATTTCTTGTGCAAGAAAGCCCAATGTTTAAAATGGCCATTGGAGCTTTCTTGCGCAAGAGAGCGTCTACACTAGCACAGGTGCTCTTGTGCAAAAGCACATCTTTTGCACAAAGGCACATGCCAGTGTAGACACTCTCTTACTCAAATACTCTAATGCAAAAACTCTTGTGTTAAAGAGTATTTGCACAAAATTTTGCCAATATAGACGTAGCCTAAATGTTTGCTGTTTGCCATTTACACTTCCCTTAGCCTGGATAATGAAAAAGCTATTTAGTTACTAATGATCACTTCTGGGTTTCCATTTGCTTGTCTAATGCACAAATTTGGTTTATAGACATAATGGGCATTTTTACAAAAAAAAATCCAAAACAAAAAATTTAAATGAAATTTAAAGAATTGAAAGGATTTTTTTTAAAGAACTTTTGGGATTATTTTTGATTTCTCACTCCTGCATCCATCTTCCAGCTTTCAGCCAAGTGAAGAGAACTCCCCTCTAACTATTCCAGAAGTAGGTATCTTTTGCCGGAATCTACTGTGGAATGTAGGCATAATCTATTACTGTGACTTTTTTTCAGAATGAGTTCTTGAAAACACTTTCCCGCGGTCCCTGCAGTCAGTTGTTCATCTGTATTGCTCATTTTAAGGCTTTGCACAGATGTTGAGCAGAAGTTCAAGGATCTATGAGAAGATGGATGGAACCTCTTTTGGGCAAAAGTTAAAAGCTAATTGCAGTTGCTAAGCTCCGTCATTCAATCCTCTTCCAATAAATTACAGAATAAAGATAAAGGCCACCAGCTTTTAGTTTCACTTTACACCTCAGTAGGCTCTCTCGGAGAGCATTGTCAAAACTGCACTTTTGTATTTCTTAGTTAATCTTGGTTTTATATCTTCTCAATTATTTATTATATCTAAGCACTACAGAGGATCCACGCAACATTTTACATAGTGAACTTCACACTGGATTCAGTGCATCGCATCTCCCAGGTTCTAGTTTGTTCTTCTGTGTGTACATTTTTTACTTAACAGCCTGATAGTTATAATTCCAAGAACATGCTCATCTTACTCGGTATAAGACAGCAGTATTTGCTATAGCAATAGGTCTCTGGTTTCTTTCTCAGTAGTAGATTAAGAAGGCAGAAATGTGAAGTACATTACATATGTTCCCTAAGCACTGGTCCTTTGATTCAGCCTCAGACTAGGACTCAAAATTTGACCTATAGGTTTTCCAGGATTTTTTTTATTTTTTGAGTACCAGGGCCACATACTTCTCCAAGTGGGTTGTGCCCACAAAAGCTGGAATACCATCTACATTTTTTGTTAGTTTCTAAGGTGGTGCAGGACTCGTCACTGTTTAAGTTTTTTCAGTTACAGATTAACATGGAGGAGACAAGTTGAATTGGTGTTCTTTTAGCAGAAACAGGCTGTGATAATTACCATTCATCTTCCCTCAGGCTATGTCTAGACTGCAAGCCTCTTTCGAAAGAGAGCGTCTAGACTGCACGCGGAATTTCGAAAAAGCAAGCCACTTTTTCGAAAGAAAGCACCCAGTGAGTCTGGATGCTCTCTTTCTAAAAAGCCTGTTTGCTTTCAAGAACGCCTTCTTTCGAAAGAGCACTTTCAAAAGAAGGCGTTCTTCCTCGTGGAATTAGGTTTACCACCGTCGAAAGAAAAGCCGCATTCTTTCGATTTCATTTCGAAAGAACGCGGCTGCAGTCTAGACGCAGGTGAAGTTTTTTTGAAAAAAGGCTACTTTTTTCGGAAAAACCCCTGAGTCTGGACACAGCCTCAGAGTGCTCATCTACACTAATGGCATTTTTGAAATATTTCACACAGGTATCACTGGTACAACTGAACTGGTAATGGCAATGCTGGGCAATCCTGCTGATTACTAACGGCATCTCATCTTTTAACCGTGCTACGAGTAAATTTAGGGCTGAAAATTAATTAATGTTTAAAGACATTTTTTCCCAAACACAAACAATTGCTGAGTTGAGGGTTCTGTGCTCTTTTTATTAATGCACCTTTTTGATCAAATCTCTCATTCACGTGGGAAAAGTATATCCTTTGGATTGAAAGAAGCTGGCATTCTACTTTGTGGCTTAGTTCCACTCTGGGTGTTGGCCCCTGCTTGAAACTAGCTTAGAAGTTTGAGCTTGGAGTTTGTGCAGAACAGATCCCATTGTGATGGCCTAATGTGATCTAGGTCTTTAGAAAACTGCTACAGAAAAGTGACTTTCTCGTCTAACCCAACCTAACTTAGGTCCAACTTGATTTGATAGTGTCCCTTTAATTGGTAGTTAGCAATCTCTTTATTTGCCAGTATTAGCTGTTCTGCTATTAATTCCTACCACTGAAAAAGTTTAAGTCCTTTTGTATGTTAATCCTAATGAGCAAAGTACTTGGAAAAGAATTTCAGAAATGGTCATGTTCTGGTGTTGGAGACAGCCTTGTAGTAAGTACTAAGTTAGAAGCAAATGTTAAGCTGAACCTTATTGTTTGCAACTTTTATTTTCCAAACACGTGGGCCATGTCCACTCTGATTTTAATCAAAGAATTTTCAAAATGGGAATCTTACCTATGGGTCCATACTAGAATAATTATACCGCTTTAGTTATTCTGTTGGTATATTTCCCTGTAAAGACAAGCCCTCAATCAGTTTAGAAATGGATCTTACTAAATTGGTGCAACTCCTTGTACGAACAGTCTTTAATCAGTTTGGTGCAACTTGTGTGTGTGGATAAAGCCTTTCGTACTCTAAAGCTATTAGACTTAGTTGACTCCTAGTAGCCTGTATGCATCATTTTCTCTGAGATGAAATTTACAAGATCTAGGATTGTGATTGATCTTTCACACCCCTACCTACTTACCTGAGAGTAGTCATTGCAGAACTGATGAAAAGGATGTTTTATATTTCTATAGAAACATCATAAACCAAGTAGGAAGTACTACAGAAGAAGGCATATTACAGAAATAAATTCACTTTCCCCTATTTATAACTTTTCTGAAGTGCTAATTTTGCAGTGTGCTAATTTTGTACTTGGGATCCCAAATGTGGTGTTCAGCTGTTAGAAAATAGCTTTTTGGGACTAAAGAAAACTTTAGATAATGGTGCTAGAAATGTAGCCGTGTTAGTCTGGGGTAGTTGAAGCAAAATGCAGGACAATGTAGCACTTTAAAGACTAACAAGATGGTTTATTAGATGATGAGCTTTCGTGGGCCAGACCCACTTCCTCAGATCAAATAGTGGAAGAAAGTAGTCACAACCATATATACCAAAGGATACAATTAAAAAAAAGAACAAATATGAAAAGGACAAATCACATTGCAGAACAGAAGGAGGAGGCGGGGGGGTGGGAAGGGGGAGGAAGGAAGGTAAGTGTCTGTGAATTGATGATATTAGAGGTAGGGAGAGTGGGATGTTTGTGAGTTAATGGTATTACAGGTGATAATTGGGGAAACTGTCTTGATAATGGGTGAGAAAGTTCAAAGACTTGTTAAGTCCCTGGTGGTAAGTGTCGAATTTTAACATGAATGACAGTTCAGAGGATTCCCTTTCAAGTGCAGATGTAAAAGGTCTTTGTAGCAGAATGCAGGTGGCTAAGTTAATGGTCACTTTCTAAAGAGTACATGAATTTAATTTTGATATGAAAAGCAGATGCAGAGGCAATGTGACATTCTGCATATTGTAGCTTTTTCTCACCTCAGTCTTCCCAGCAAAGTTTGGACTGAAATTAATTTAATATTCAGAAGCCCTTCTTTACTGTAAACTTTTCTGCTTTGATGGTGTTTGTCTCCAATCAGTGACAAAATTAACCATGCAGCTGCTAATCCTGTGAACTACATTGTGTGAAGGAGGGAACATACTGTTCATTCTTTTGGCTACCTACATTGGTAAATAAAGCACGTGGGCATTATGCTTTTGCTGTTTTTTTTTTAAACCACTATTAATAGACTTGTTAATCCTATGAAGTATTGTATTTTTTATACAATTAAAATGTATTAGTGTAGCAAGAACAAAAGGGGTGATGAAGAGCATTTATTCATGGGATAAATCAAGCTCTGATCAGCTGATCATCAAAACATCTGATTTACATTTCTATAGGCTTATGACCATATGAACAGGAAATTAATTTTGGCAGTAGGTTCAATGGGACTCAAGTCCACCCTGCTAGAAACAAACGCAAAGCTGCTATTCACGTTATGAGACCAGTTATCCAACAAAGACACAACTAGGATGATTCTTCAATTTGTTTTCCCTCTCTGGTGGGTAAAACATCAATCTTAAAAGCTTCCAAAAATAAGGAATAACTTACTGAGTTTTAGGTGACTTATCTTTTGAATTGCATAGCGTTTGTTTGTTCGTATGCTCACTTGTGTAGTCTTTGGAACTGTGGTGCTGTTCTAAGTATTGAACGGAATTGTGTATTCCAGGTACCAGTTTATTTTTAGAATAATTTTTTTAAAATTCTGGTTGTTAAACATCTGTCTCTGACATCTGCAATAGCCACAGAAAGTTTTTCTCTGTATAACAGGCTGCTTCCTACCCACACCCTCCAAATATTTTGGACACTACAAATAGTGAAGTGAGTCTCAACTAGTGCCTGTGCTTTTTGACAAAGTACTTTGTTACACTGCCTAGTGCTATTGAGAGAGAAATTCCTTTCCCCACCTAATGCTGCTTATTTATTTATTTTTTGGAGATGAATCTATGTTGCCTCAAGAGGCTTTTTTCCTTGGAGATAATAGCAGCAGCTCTTCATAGATCCATTTGTTGCCGTGGTGATATGACTACTCCTTTTGTTGGTCCCCTCTACTTCAATAAACCCCCTTCCTGTTATCAGCCCAGTGAAAATGTCTGCAAGTTCTTCAGAGCTAATAAAGAGCATACATCATTCCTTTCATCTGATTGCTATAGTGGGACCTTATGAGAGAATGAGACTAGAGTAGGAATTGTACAGCTGCACTAATGGAAGTCTGAAGAATGAACCTTCGAAGTCAGAGTGAGTGTGCAACGGTGCAATTACCTTTCTCCCAAAGCTGAAGGTGCTGAGATTCAGAAGTCATACCTTGTTTTGAGTACTAGTGAATTAATCTATTGCTTTTTGAAAACAATAGTATATAATTTGAAGGACTGTTGTTAAATTGGTAATTGTGAAAATGACTTGTGGTCTGTTCAGCTTGACTTGGTGCTGATGTTGAATCCCATTTCTTTGTTTCCCTGCTATACCCTTTTAGGAATGAGATGGAAAGACACTTCTTGGAGCTGCTGCAGTTTAATATCAATGTTCCTGCCAGTGTTTATGCCAAATACTACTTTGACCTTCGCTCCTTAGCAGATGACAACAATCTGAGTTTTCTGCTGGAGCCTCTTAGTAAAGAGAGAGCACAGAAACTGGAGGTAATAGGTTAAGACTTGGTGAGCTGGGCACTCCTCTGTCTGCATAATAACAGCATCTCTGGCTAATTGTATTATGTGGTGATTAGCAAAACTAAAAAGCTTTTAGAGTAGTATATTAGAGCGGGTTGACCCCTTAATAATGGGTGTTATCACATGTAAAACACACTGGTGCTTTGTAACATAAGCAGATATACTGAGGAGATGGAGGAAGAAAGGCTATAGTCTGTTTGGGTGGCTTAATAAAACATGAGGTATTAGTTTCTGGAACTGTAGTTTGGCTAGGCCACTTAATAGTAAAAGCTGTATCTATAATGGACTGTTTTCTGTCTTTCCCTTATTCACATCTCCTTTCCAAGCATACTAAAACATCCTATTCAAACCTGTTTAAATTATACTGGCTGTGGGTTTCCATAGCACCCAGCTCCTTTTGGCTTTAAGGGAGTTCTTAATGTTCTTAATTGTGATTTATTAAAGTGGATGTTTAGTAGCAACTGAAGGTAGCAGTTTCATTTAACAACTTTAAAAAAAAAGTGAGCTAACATCTCTTTATCAATGACAAGCACTGTTTTATGAATAATCTGAAATACCCACTTTAAATGCTATATACTATTACTGACCCTGCAAAAACTGGCTAGTAAAAATACTCCCTGCTAAAGAGTCCTTGTGACTGCCCAAGAGCTCCATTACTGTTCTCTAGTATTCAAGTTCACTTATTTTAATTAAGTTTTGTGCTGTGAAAAGCGAGATCTTCTTTGTGATTTGTTTTAACATGATACTGGAAACCCCAGGCAAAAATTCTGTCAGGGTCCACTTACTGAGTTCTGTCAGGGCTCTTTCTGAGAGAGATACGTTGACTATCATGCATTTTGGTCTTTAATTTGAGACCTTAAAAACAGACTCTGTGTAGACACTAAAAAGTCAGAGAGCCCTTTCTCCATAAGAATTTTGCTACATTATTCTCAGGCCAAACCATTTTTCATCCACATCCCAAAAATTGTGCAGCATGCTAGGTTCTTATGCTTCTGAAATGTAGTCATTTGTGAAATGGAGATAATCAGTATAATTCTTCAATCCTTTGAAATGATAGGCACTATATGCCTAAAAATGGAGCTATACTTTTCTTTGGGGCTTTTTGTTTTTGTTTTAAACCTTTAAGTAATGTTAAAGCTAACCGCTTATGTGATGACAGTGCAGCTTTGGACAGGAATCTTATTTTAGTTTGCATTTGTACAGCACCTAGCACAGCATGGTCCTGGTCCAGGATGGGGGCTTCCAAGCACTACTGTATTACAGATAATACATATATTGTTTATATTCCAGTACTTTGATAATACTATTCTGAAGAAAATAGTTCACAATTTGTCCAGCATATAAGCAAAAGTGGATGACTTATGAACAGGTGTGAGCCTCAATTTTGTACTTCCGTTGCTAATATTTGGGAGCCAGTTATTCAATATGACTTCACTGAATTATTCTCAGCACAGCATACCATTTGCTACTGCATACTCACTCTTGTGTGAGTGTGTGTATATATGTGTAAAAATTGTAATTGTGTTTAAATCAGGGTATGCAATAAATAGTTTTCAAAGTATGTGCTTAAATTTCTAACTTTAAAGATAAACCTGCTTTTGGCTTAAAAACTCAAAAAGGTCAGTTTGGGAGCTTGTCTTATGTAGTGAATTAATGTTTCAGTGGATCAAAATGTGATTTGTATCTTATGGAAGAGTGGGGCTTAATGTGTAATGTGGCTCCTTTATGATGACTGGGCATTAATTCTGAAGAGAGGTTTTGTCTGGTCTTGCAGCAAGGGCTCGTGCAGCCAGTGTGTCAAAGCATGCCTCTCTTGAGCCACATGAATACCTCCAGAAGGAAGTTGACAGAGAGAAATATAAATAATTATTTTAGAATACACTTAGCAATGTGTTCATGCTGAGAAGCACTGCTCACCTTTTGAACTTGAGAATCCTGGGCCAAGCAGAATGGGATGCTACCCTAGACAGAAGGAGCAGTCTTTGTGCTAAATGAAGGACTGTGAAAGCTCATCTGGTGTTCATGGTAGATTTTGAATGCAAGTTAATACTCACAACTGACATTCTGAGCCTAACAGCAGTAGTTCAACAAACAAATGGAAAATGACATCTTTTTTTGTGGTGTGTGTGTTTTTTTTTTTTTTTTTTTACTTGCATTATATGAAGGCTCCAAGAGACCTCAATTAGGACTTGAAACGCTGTCCTGAAGTGTTTCTAATTGAATTAGTTGACACACAGTTTTAATAAGAATTCTCTGCTGGAATAAATGCAGTGTACACGCTGCTTTAATCATTAAATAAATGGAGCCTCTCGGCAGTTAAAGCAACTCAAATCTACTGTGTTGTATTTAAACAAGTAAGTCTGTCTGTCCATTCCTCTGTCTGTTCAAGGACTCTTCTTAAACGGTAAGAGCTAGTAGGACCCCCAAATTTAGTATGCAACTTCCTCTTATAACTTAAAGTAAGGTCAAGGATTTGATTTGTTCCAGGATACTGGGATGTGCCTAGAATGCCATTGTTTTTCATAATATAGAGAAGGAGGAGTCTGCTAGCAAGGATAATTATACTGTATAATGACCATGCAAGGGACCAGAAATAGGGACCCCATTAGGATAGCTGAGGGCAGAGGTGGAGGTAAGGTTCCTGGGTAGTGTGGCCCCGGCCAGCTGCCTCCTGGCCCCAGGCAGCTTGGTGGCCACACTCCCTGCTCTAAGTCCCCATCCCCTATACCCAACCTAATTCCTGTCTCCTGCACCCCCCACATCCTGCCATTAGAGAGGGCTGGGGCAGTCCCCTCTCTCCAGGGCAGCCTGCATACTGAATCTCTCATCCCCAGTGCAATGATTTAAAAGAAGAAAAATAAATTAGGGACCCAAACAATCTCAGGTAAATCTTGTGGTACGGTACTAAATAAAATGATCATACCTTTGTTAATATTAAATTACCTGCACTAAAGCTGGGTGGATGGGTAGTATACAGTTCGGCACTGAGATCTTATTGGATTCACTAACTTTGTGCTGGTTTACAAACTTCTGCAAAAAGTTATCTGGCATCAGGAAGTGCAGAGAAACACCAATCTTCTACCATACACCCTAAAAATCCTAAATGGTTCTGTTGAATATTTGTGCTGGAGGGAACCAGCAGCTGCATGTAAACGTCCTTTAAACTAGCGTCCCTATTGAGCCTCATATCCATGGCCTGGGCCCCCAAAACCTAACTGTGTAGTTTTGAGTGTAGTTTGTGCATAAACTCACATACTAGAGTTGGATCCAAGGTTGCCAATAGGCTGTAGAGGATGGTATAATATTTAAGTTACTTAGAACTGTGGAGATTGAACTGCATTTGAAAATAAATCTTCTGGGACTAATGATGGTGCTGGGAACATGGGAAAGCGTCTAGAAGATGCAGTGTCTACAGTCCCTTAATGCTTTTCCTCAACAAAAGGATTTTTTTGTAATTGCATACCCAGGGCAGCAACCAATAATTGTCATTGAAAGATACAAGCATTGTACTGTACATGCTTAGTCCATTAGCATTGCCATTTGTAAGAGCTTTCTTAAAATGTTTGAACACTTCTAATTCATGTATTCATTCTTTTATATCCAAATGTATTTTACAGGCTATCTCCAGGCTCTGTGAGGACAAATACAAAGACTTGTCAAAAGCTGCTATGAGGCGATCTTTCAGTGCTGATAATTTAGTTGGAATTCGTCGTTCTAATGCCATCCTCTCCTGAGGAGAGAGAAGGGTGCAGCACAATGAAGCCAGCATACATATGAACCAGAGGAATACCACCACTCCATGCACATAAGCCAGCAGTGATGGTGTCTTCCAGTAAAGGGAGGAAGGATAAAAAACCAACCAAGGAATCCCAGGGCCTGAGGAGCATTTTCTAGTCAAAAGATGGGACTTTGTCAGATCAGCACTCCTCCTTTTTAATGTATCCAGAGGTGCAAAAATGAGCTCCTCCCTCCCCTCCCACAGAAGTTTGCTTACTGTGTAGGCCTATAGTGGTGAACAATGAGGTTTTTAATAATGAGTAGTTTTAAATTTTAGAATTTAAACACTAACCACGTGACAATAGTTACAAATGTTCTTCCCTCTTCTCCCCATCATTCAGAATCTTGCTGCATTTGCCTTTCAGAGTGAATGCAGTGTTAACACAGAGAGAGACTCTAATGAAGTATACAGCCACTCTGGAGCTGAAATGGTAGCTTGAATAAGTATTGAAGGTTTTTGCTATTTAAAAAGCTGCTGTTTAGGGATGAGTTCAAAACCAGCAAGCTGTTTGAGCAGGATATAATGCTAACAGTGTCATCCCAGTAGAAACTGTAAAAGGATTTGAATATTTTGGTTGGAAGCAAAGAAATGGTGTTACATATTGATCAAATTTGTAGGGGCCATTCTGCATTTCTTGTGACCTATGGTGCTTCTCACTTTCTAATACTTTTACTACTGCTTTGGAAAATATGCATCCTGTATATCTTTCTGAGGCATTGAATGAGAGAGCTCTATTGGAGAAAATGTGGCAATCCAGTGATGAATAGCCTACAGCATTGCTTCTCTGAATTCTTCCTCCTCTTCCACCACAGATTTGTTGTGCTTTATGAAGTGATGTTTTGACAACATTGATGCTAAGATTATCATGTCTGTTATGGTTCCCCCAGGACTTCCTGCTTTCAGAAGGGGGGGGGGGGGGGGGGGGGGGGGTACATTTGTGGTGGAACAGTAGTAGTTTAAGGATCTTGGACTCTCTGATAGAGGTAGACATGTATTCCCAATTAGCACATAAGATTTTGTTGAAATTTTTTCTTAAAAAAACAGAACCCAAATGTATAAGTTGTCAGATTTATTTTTGGAGAAGTGAATGTTGCTGTTAGTGTAACTCTGCTCTTCCTGAAGATAGAGTTTACTCCTCCAGAATGAGAATTTGGGATGGAGTTGCCTTTCAAACTTAAAAATCCTAAACAGGATAAGTATTAATGACTTTTCCTGTGGCTAGCCCTTGTATACCTCCTTCTCTGTTCTAGGTAGACTCTAGGCACTTTGACATTACTAGACATTACTTCCTAGGACAATTTTGTTCAACCCTGCTTCCATCCACGGTTCAGTAAGTTATCATGTCTTCATGTCTTTGAGATTGGGGACTTCTTTGTGTAACAATTTGGCAGCATTCAAATTATTTAAATGACACGCATAGTATTTTAAAGTTTGCAAATCTACCAGCTCCAGGCCCACAATCCTTGGAACTTGGAATTTCAGGTATTGATCACGATTCAATTTTGAAAATAATGCTACATCTTCAGGTGGTTTTTCCTTTCTCATGTTTGTATTAAAAGAAAAACTAATAATAAACTCTATTTTAATTAAAGCTAAAGGTGATTAGAGTGTTCTGTACCATTTCTGACTTTGTTTGCAAATAATTTATAAAACAGATTAAAGTGAGGACTTGGATCTGACTACTTTAGAATTTTGGCAAATCTTAGTCCTATTGTGTGTGTGATCCTCCCCAATATGAGCTGATTTTTGTTGTTGTTGTCTTATTACCTTTATTTGAAAATACTACTTAACAGCCAAAAATGATTATTGGAGGCTTGATATAGCTAGGGGTATACAGTTTGCAGTCAGCTGCAGTTTGTATATTTAAGATGAAGGAAGAGTATGATTGAATGACAACTTCATTGATTCCAGGCCCTATTTGTTAAATCTGAGAGCAAAACTATTTAAATAACTGGTAGTGATGGATAGATTTTGGTTTACATGCAAGGCGGCGGAGGTGACTGCTGCTCTATTCCTTCTTGGGAGTTTGCTTTGGAACAAGATTAGCTGCTTGTAATTTCCAGTCTCTGGATTTCAGGTTGACCTGTAACCTAATTCTTACAATTCTGTTTGTTAGTTAATACCCGGCAACCTGATTTGAACTTTCTGGCTTATGAGGTGAACATAAACACCCTTTTCTTGGGCTTGTTTTTTGTAGCACTGTACACATGTAACAGGTACCTTCTGGCACATCTAAGGAAATAATCCCCTGTGCAAGGTATTCACCATTTCCTTGACAGATAAATTAGTGAAGGATGTAATAACACAGTAAGAAAAGAAATGTGATCCTGGTTTGCATGACTGATTCTAGGATGCTGTCAATAGACATCTCCCCAACAGTGTGGGGGAATCAGAAAAGAACTCACCCCAAAGGAATCTGAATCTACAGGATGTCTGGTTCATCTTTTGTCTGTGTTCCTTGTGTAGGCTCTCAAAGAAGGCTAGGATTGTCTGACTCCTCAGAACCAGATCAAAATCAGGACATGCCTTTGCTCAGTGGCACTTGAAGTTACCAGTTATCATTGCTTGTGAGGTAATGTCATGCATAATATGTGGTGCTGCAATAGCATGAAATATTGGACGGTGCATGCAGAATAGATTAAATCTGAATTCAAAAAGTCAGTTTATCTTATCAAATCTTTCTTTCTTTCATACATTAATCTGACAGATTAACAAATTGACTGGTAAAAAAGCATTCTTTCCTTTCCATCTTCCCTATATGGAAATCTGCTCTGATTCAGCAAGCTTTTGGTGACCAATCTCTATTGGTGTTGTGTGCAGTGTAGTTATAGCTGTATCAATACCAGGGTATTAGAGATTAAGTGGGTGAGTTATCTTTTAATGGACCTTTGCCAGACCTGAAGAAGAGATCTGTTTTGGCTCAAGCTAGTCTCTCATCAATAGAGGTTGGTCCAAAAACTACTTCACCCACTTTGTCACTCCAAGCTGTGGGGAAAAAAATTGGGTGCAACCTTAATATAGCAAAATACCATATATAATTTGTGCAAAATCATCTTACTATGTTCTCTGCATTTATACAGATGCTTCAGTGGTTTTTGTTTTAGATTTAGGTGATCATAGTTGAACATTATAGATGCTTTGTCTCCTTACACTTTGCATTAAAAGCTATGGAATAAAGATTAGTTTTTTGCTGCTTCATGATGTATAAAGGCTTGAATATTTCTTAAACGCTTTCTTTACAAAGCAAGTGTTTACTACCCTGTTCTTGCAGGAAGAGTTAGTACAGCTGGCCCCGAATTACGAACGAGTCACGGACCAAACACTTGACCATAACTTGAAGTGTTCATAACTCAGATCCCATTGAGTTACATGGCGGTTGCGCTGTTCGTAAGCGCGGATCGTATTCGTAACTCGGGGACCGCATTTACAACCGCAACAGTCATAAGTGGAGGTGGTCGTACGTCTGAGACTGGCTGTAGTTGACTAGAGAACTAGTGAAATTTTTACTATTAACAAACTGAAACCTGAGCTACTGAATAGGGGAAAGTATTGTTAATCTGTTTAAAACAGTTGAATAGGAGCTGAGAAACTAGCAACATCCATTCCCCTATGAGAACTGAACTTCCACTCCATGAAGCAAAGAGGTTGGGTTTTGCATTGTGGTGTTCAGATGCCTTCCAGAGAGACTGCATTAGTGTGTTTCAAAGCGAGTCCCATTCAGTTTTCCCTCAGCCTGGTGTTAAGACTGGTGGTAGCAGTCTGCTTTTGAGAAATGTACCTTTTCAAAATGGGATTCTAATGCAGAGGATAAGTTAATTCTTTTCTGTCTCTGCGTATGAGGTAGGCTGTCAGGATAGATAGTTGTATGCATTGGGCTATGTGCACTGGGTATAGATTTTTATTAAGATGCAACCCTGTCACTTTCTAGTTGTAGCTGTGACACTCAATAGCTGCCAGCTATTTGCCCACTGCAGGCTAGTTAAAATAAGCTGAGTTCCCATCCACAAGTACTGTTAGGTGGCGTGCTTGCTCTGAGAATCCCAGCTAAAGAATGCAAACTTGCTTCAGCACAACCTTTTCCCTTTGCATACAAAAACTGTGTATTTTGTTACTATGGAAATTTGCTATGTGGACCACTTACCCATCAAATCCACTGTAAGAGGACAAGTATTTCTGCAACAGAATAAATGTCAAGGACACCCTTTCTTCTTACAAAGAAAAGGTAGCTGGCATAATGTGGGCAAGTGGAGGAGCAGAAGAGGGATTGAGGCAAGTATCATAAACTCTACCTCTCCTTCAGCAGAGGTGTGTTCCAAGCACCTGAATAGGCTTGGGTTAACTTCAAAAGTGAAGTTGACCTGGTTTATCAGAAAAGGTCCTATTCTGAGAGTTGCTGCAGGCTTTGCTCAATGGGTGAAGTGTAGATCTGAGTATTGGGGAAAACTTCACTAGAAAGGAAGTGGTAGTATCTGTTCAGACCTAATTTCCATGTAGCTCTTGTATGAAATATCCATCTTCGTGTTGCACATTCTTCCAAGTGGCATGCCATGGATCCCAAAAGGGTTTATAGAGTAGATCAGATTACACCTCCCTTTCCTTAGCATTGTCATTCTTGTCTTAAAACAGGTTTCCTTTCCTTTCTCTGCCTTAGAATAGTCATTGTACTGTATCTTCCTGTCAAAGACCATTGTGGCTCCATTGCATTACTGATGGTTTGCTTTACAGTGAGTGGCCAGTTAGGCTAATTTGTCAGTCAGCAAAGGCTACACTCGAGTTCTACGGCAGCTTCATTTTTATTATGTATTTTTGGAGGGATGCAGGAGGAGTTTAATCCAAGGTACATGAAGCTACCCTCAGCCTAAACTTAGGAACAGCTTTTTTAGCTCACAAAATTAAGACTTTGAAAGCACCAGTTCCCTGCCAGCTCTTAAATGGTGCTGTCCAGGAGGAAGAGGTAGCAGCTTCCCTGAGATAAGGATTGAATGCACCTTGAGAGACCTAGATTAGTGATGAGATGCCTAATCATGACACTGCCAGTCCCTTGATAATGGTATTAGATTAGTTTATGTCCCTGACAATTTGCTGTCTACAGTAGCCTGCTTTATTCCCTCTTGTAGGGATGAACTCTGAGCTGGGGCAGTGCTGAATATCTGCACATCTCTTATTCACTTACATGTTCTAACTCCCCATGTAGGTCCATGTAAATCCTAGAACATGCCAGACTCTGTAAGAGGGGAAGACTGGAATAATGTAAGATGCAGTGTGCGTATTAAAGTGTGTAATTAAAAGGTAGAAAGTGAAGTTGCCCTGATTATCAGAAAAGCTCCTGTTCTGAGAGGTGCTGCAGGGTTTGTGCTCAGTGGAAGTTGTGGATCTTGACACAGGGCAAGATCAGTCCCTGTGACAGTCTTATTTACACTGATGGAGGCTGGCCAGACAGCCTTGTAATTAAAAGCTTCAGCGGGGTAGCCGAGTAAGTCTGTACAGGATAAACTTTAAAAACAACAAATAGTCTAGTAGCACTTTAAAGACTAACAAAACATGTAGATGGTATCACGAGCTTTTGTGGGCACAGCCCACTTTTTTCAGATGACGTTAGAAAAGGTTCAGAGAAGGGCAACTAAAATGATTAGGGGTTTGGAACAGGTCCCATATGAGGAGAGATAAAAGAGACTAGGACTTTTCATCTTGGAAAAGAGGAGACTGAGGGGAAGTATGATAGAGATATATGACTGGTGTGGAGGAAGTAAATTAAAAAAAGTTATTGACTTGTTCCCATAATATAAGAACTATAATATATGGAGATACACCATCTCACAGAACCGGAAGGGACCTTGAGAGATCAAGTCCAGTCTCCTGCCCTCACAGCAGGACCAAGTACCATCCCTGACAGATTTGCCCTGGATCCCTAAATGGGCTCTCCCCCCCGACTGAGCTCACAACCCTGGGTTTAGCAGGCCAATGCGCAAACCAGTGAGCTATCCCTACTGCCCTAGGAGAAGCCACCAGATGAAATTAATGGGCAGCAGGTTTAAAAGAAATAAAAGGAAGTTCTTCACACAGTGCAGTGTCAACCTGTGGAACTCCTTGCCTGAGGCGGTTATGAAGGCTAGGACTATAACAGGGTTTAAAAGAGAACTAGATAAATTCATGGAGGTTAAGTCCATTAATGGCTTTTAGCCAGGATGGGTAAGGAATGGTGGCTAGGGTGGTAAAACCCTAGCCTCTGATTGTCAGAGGGTGAAGATGGATGGCAGGAGAGAGATTGCCTGATCACTTCCTGTTCGGTTCACTCCCTCTGGGCACTGTCGGCAGACAAGATACTGATCTGGATGGACCTTTGGTCTGACCCAGTATGGTCATTCTTATGTTATGTTCTCTTCCTGCAACATCTGTGAATATTTAGACTGAATCCTTGCAAAATGAGATGCTTTCTCTTGTAAAGGAAGATTGCTATGGTCTGTCTTTTGGATGACGTGAGTCTGCACCAAATATGAACATAGCATTGAGACTGGCATGCATACCCAGTTGACTGACACTTGCTAGACTGTTAATTGGTAAGTACCAAAGGACAGGTGTACAGTGCTTGTTTATTGCTGGGCAAGGACCTGGCATTATTCCAAGTCAAAAGACCAGTACATTTTATAGTAAGAGCTACACTCAACTATAGGATGTAACCTTGAACAGTCAGGGCAATGTATTTTACAGGAGCTGCTATGGATACAAGCCAACAGCAGCGGTTGCCTTTAAACCAACTCTTGCTCTATCAGTATGTGTTTTTAAAAAAGTCACAGATCAGACCTAAGCTTTTCCTTCAGCCCTCCTCTGTAACATTTCCTTACAAGGCTTTGTTTACAACCTGAGAGAGGACTTCTGGTGGGATTTCACTAGCTGCATTCCTATTTCCTGCTGGGAAATGTGACATGTTTATTATTTGCATAATAATGCCTAGAGTCCCTAACCTGGGAATAAGGCTTATTGAACTAAAGTCTGTAGGAGCAGGACTTATTTCATTGCCGCATGGCTGTACTCATCACATCTTTCAGTGCCTCCTGCTGGTAAGAAAGGGGAAACACCTTCCTCCAGAACACTTATTTCTCTCCCTCAACCATTATTTAATGTTTTACTTTGTTCTAGGAATAAAAACAAAAGTAGACATTTTCTCATAAATAGCTACCTTCCATACATTTTTCTTCAAATAAAATCTCAACTTATCTTCAACTTTACACAAAATAGAATACATACAAAGATACTTTTTTAAAGGAAAAAAGGCATCCACATTCAGCAACTGCAGTAGGTGAAATATAACGTGTGCAACTGTCGGCCACACCAGTCTGGGCACAAAATAACATTTCTTTACCAATCACCTGATTTTAATTGCTACTGGTTACAGTGCTGTTGATGAAAATTTGGAGCCTGAAAGCTGGGGGTAAGTAATGTTTGAACAGTTACAATTTTCTGTAGCAAGGATTTGTCACTAGGCCAAAAGCTATCTTCACCTCTGCTTCAACTATGCTCACGTTTTTCAATAGTCTGCTGTTTGCAGCTGATTTAAAGTCTACACCAAAGCAGTTACACTTGAAGAAAGTGTTCATGGTATTGCATGAAGCATGTCTAGCCACTACAGCAAGACACAAATAACACTGGCCATGAATTTGACCAATGTAAAATGAGTTATGGAACAGTTCTATACCCCACAATTTGCCCTGATGTAACAGGACTAAAGCTGCCTTGTAATGAGAACAAACCCGTGTCAAAACTCACTATAACCCTAGTATATACAAACCAGATTCAATAGTACAATTATTTACAAAGTGTAAAAACAGGCTGCAAGTGTGGTCCTAGGTGAAGTACTGTATACTCGTTACATTGCAGGACCTGGTCCCACTGTTGCTGCTAATCTGTGCTGGAGGAGTTTATTGCCAAGTAGAGGGCTGGAAAATCAGGGCTTTAGAGCTTTTCCCCCTCCCTTCCTCTGCTGCCCACAGAACAAGAGGCTGCTGCATGCATGGTTGCAGGTTACTTAAAATACCTTGCTGCTGCACACAGGGGCTGTGTCCAATTCTGTGCCTGGGGCTGTTTTGTTGTGAAAATTGATGATCCAGCTCTGAGCAGTGAGGGTCTTGCTGAGTGCTCACTGATCAGTGCCACTACTTTACAGTCCAAAAGCAAGTGCTGGGCTACTGCCACAGTTGTGGGTGCAAACGCCAGGTGGACTTGGAGAAGTTATTAGGTGTTGGCTGGCCAAAAAGAGAAGAGAACCCCTGTAGCTTTGTTCCCAAACTTATTCTCTGGGAGTGGCAGTAATTCCTTAGCTGTAGAGGGAAAGGAGGAGGGGTACATTGCTCCTTTGATAAAGTTGGCAGTTCCTGTTTCTTGCCAGCCAGGAGCTTGAAATCCATTTCCCTGGCCTGAATAAAGCTGAGTGCCTTGTTTGGCAATAGTTGCTTCCTTCAACCTCGAAGGCCTGTGAATAAAAGCACACTGCACCCACCTGGCCAGCTTAGTGAGATGCAAGTTACTGCATTAGTCAGTCTAGCAGTTGTGTGGGGAGGGGAAGCAACCCATCAACCCCACTGCTGTACAATGCTCACTTAGCAGGGAGAAACTGCTGCCAGGTTTCAGTGTGTGAGAGTATTTCTCCCTCTTACAGGTGTAACAAACAACACTGGCCAACTGCTGCATCACAGCTCTGGGAGGGGGTTGCAGGAGCCTGGTCTGTGATACAGCTGTGAGCTTAGGTAGTCTGCACTTGCTGCTTCTTGGCCCTCTCTGTTTCCAAGGGGAGCTAAAGGCCTGGCCCAGCCCTAGGTTACTTTTAGTCCCATTCAGGTGCAGGCATTACCTTATTATTGGTGGTAAATCACCCAGGCAGCTGATACCTGTGGTTTGTACACTGCTCCTGGCTATCCCCTGCTACAGGTACTGGAGAGCTGGGTGCCTGCAAGTTGCCCTGTTTAAAGGCAGCATGAGAGTAGGGAGACTGGTCAAGGAGTCCCTGCTTCTGTGTGTTTCTATGAGGCCAGGCTCCCCAGCCTGTTGTTGCTGTCTGGTTGCTCCTCATGGTGGGCAAGTACTTGAGCTTCCTAAGAGGACTAGGACTCAAACCTAGGCCTCTATACTCGCGAGGTAAATGCTCTATCCCCATAGCCACTCCAGACCCCTAGCCCACCTCCAGGGCATCCCTAACCCTGCCTCCCTAATGCAGGAGCCAGCTCTCTATGTGGGGCAACTGGTCTTGGCAGCAGACTATGAGCCTGCTGCTTTTCCTCCTTTCTGGCTCAGGCATGGCCTGGCAATGCTGGCAGCAGCTGCGGTGGCCTGGGACTGCAGCGGGAGCACCATGCCGAAAGCGCCGGGGGTAAGGCAAGAGCAAAGCCACATACCCTCGGGAGGGAAGCCAGGCCAGCGCCCCTGATGCGGGCGGGCTCTAGGCTAAGGGGAGCTTTGCAGCCCTCGGGAGGGCCTGTCCCCTCTCGAGCTTTGCCTGCCTCGCGGGGCACCCGAGCTGGCGGCAGAGCAGCGCGCTGGAGCTAAAGCGGCCCGGGGAGGCTGCGGGGGGCACAGACCTTCGTCCTGCTCGCTGGAAATGGGGCGCCACGGCCGGCCGGGCCCTACGCGCAGCCTGAGCAGCCTCCAGCAGCGGGGGCGCCTCCCGCGCCCGTG